GAGTCAACCCTGAGCCGGTGAGATTTGAACCGCTGAACTGCAGATAACAGTCAGCTGAAGTGGCCTGCAGTACTGCACCCTAACCACTGCACCACTTGAAAGTCTCCACATACACACACACACACACCGGTGTGCATTTGAAGTTCTCAGACACCTGTTACTTTCAGTTCCTCATTCCCCACCATCTCATACTTCCTGTTCTAAATATATCCACATCAAGCACAGACTTGATGCACAAGTCAGCACATTTCGAAATATTAGTCTGGTACATTTTGCAATTATTTTAGTTTAAAACTTTGGTTCAGTAAGGCCTGCAAGCTCACTCCTAGGCCTATTACTTGCAACTTTCCAATGAATATTTTCTCCCTCTGTGTGTGTGTATTCCATCCTTCCTTCTTTTGATAGTTTTATGGTGACCTTGGACCTTTTCAAAGGCCATCTGGACTGCCAATTTATTCAAGCGCCAGAAAAATAAGTATTCCACTAACCTAACATTTCTCGTTCCTATAACCTGATTTTTCTTTCCCCTCTGCTATGGGAAAAACTAACTTAACTTCTTTATATTTTTTTTATGCACTGGGATCTTTGAGGTGAAAGAGGTTAAAAGCAGGCTATACAAAATCTAGAGAATAGACAGAGAAGCTTCAACTATCGTTCACAATAGGAAAACTATTCTAAACAGCCCAGATTTAGAACTGGCATTTAGCTCCAGGACTTCCTTCTATCTTTTATTCTTCTGGCTTCCTTGAAATTGGAAGTATAAAGAATTTAGGCCCTTAGGCAGAGAAGAAGAAACATTTCTATTTCTCTTGGTGTTGGGAGGGTGCCGGGCGATTGTGTGCACGGATGCTGAAAACAGTATTTCTAAGACTTTTCTCATCCTTCATTATTCTGCTGATAGGACTTCAGAGAAGCCGATTCTCTTACTGATAGCTGGCCTTTTCAAAAAGAAAGTTGCCCAGGAAATACTAACTTAGGTGAGTATTTTATTCTAAATCCCTTGCTGTTCCTGATTCCTTTTTAGTAAGAAAAAAACTAAGTCATGTACCCAAACATGTTAGACACCTTTTTGTGTGTGTGTGGTCAACTGTTTCCACTTTTCTTTGAACAGCCTGCCTCTTTCTCTTGTTAATTGTGTTCCCACTTTCAGGATTTTTGCCTATGAGTAATGAAAGTAAACTGGTAGCTGTAAAAGGACCGGTTCCGTGCCAGTCACCTTTAAACAGAGAAAGGATCACGTTACCAAACGCCTTCACTTCTTCGGCAACTCATTTTAAGCCTATTATTCTGCATCAGAATATAAACCATAAAATGTAAGTCTGGTTGTGTGTGTTCTCCAGGCAATGATTAATTCCACGGCATACCATATATATTACGGTATGTGTTATGATCTTTTTTTACTAGGATGAAGCTAATCACGTCATAAAGATCTTCTGATTTTTGCAGAGAGACACAAATTCAAATTCCTCTCGAGTCTGTTCCTTTATTCCAATTTTTTTGTTTTTTATCAACAGAGAAATTTGGATGTTTTCAGTGCTGTCTTTAATTTGTGTCTGGTTAATCTTAATGACAGTTCTTTTCAAACAAATCCGCTTCGAATCATGGCAAAAGAATATAAGTTTACAGAATAAAATAGCATTCATTTAACGCATTGTGCTGCAATATATTATATGTAAATCAGATCATTTAGAACAGTGTTTCTCAACCTTGGCCCCTTGAAGATGTCTGGACTTCAACTCCCAGAATTCCCCAGCCAGCATTCGCTGGCTGGGGAATTCTGGGAGTTGAAGTCCAGACATCTTCAAGTAGCCAAGGTTGAGAAACACTGATTTAGAATGCTGTGCATTACATTCTTTAATCATATTTTGCTTAACAGCAAAAAAAATGCAACATATAGCAGGGGGGGGGGGGAAGTAAACACCAGTTTTTGGCAAAAATGTTGTACAGCATGTGCCTTCATTACCCATAAACCACTCCTGCTTTCTTTCACCTTTGTTTCACCACTACTGATTTTTCACGCTGATAAAGCTTTCAGCTCTTGAAGTTGCTTTACTACTTAATGGTAGAATTGCTACCATTAGTAGATGGATAGTTGGTGTGAAAAATCCCATTGATAGAACTGTCCCAAGACCTTGTAGAATAAAGCAGCCACCTCAGCAAAGTAAATCTTACAAATCATCTTACTTTCTAGAGATGCCATTGCAACCCCCGTCGTAGAGTGTGAAACCATGACAAGAATACCATCTGTGAGTAGCAGAAATCCAACACCTTCAAGTAATGACAATGAAAACAAGACAGGTGAAATTTTGAATTTGTCTACTCCTTGTATGATGCCTGGTACTTTGGAGCAGAGTGAAGAAGAGCAGAAAATGCTACAAGAGAAGGATTCCGAAGAGCAATCTCCGAGCAGTAGTCGTTCCCCTGATCCTAACTTATCACTTCCTGACTCTTTAGATGTGTCTCAAGAGAAATGCATTTTGGAAGCACCCCCCTCGGCTAACCCCAGCTCTACCGTCCCATCGAGTGTGACTTTTGTAAATAATTTCCTTTTAAAACAGGACCCAGAGACAAGGGTGTTGACTTTTGTACCTGTGCAGATAGCGATATCGGAACAAATACCCAATAAACCCCTCCGTTCAAAAGCAACTTACAGCTGTTGCCCAAATTTACACCTGCTCCTTTCAGAACCTGCGATGGCCTATGATGCTCACGGAGCCTTGCAAGCAAATTCATCCCTAAGTGACGCGATTAAAGATCAATTTGGTGACGTACAAAACAAATGTTGGGGCATCAAAGCCAAGATGGGTGATTTAACACCAACGACAATTAATAAAGAGACACAAACGAAGTGCTATGAAAGTAATCCATGTCTTGTATCCTGTAAGGAACGCAACTCAGATACAGAGAAGAGCCTCCTTTTCTCAGATCACGCACAGGATCCCTCGCTCGATCAAAATCCTGGTTCACTCTTCCCAGGAACTTCTCAGCAGAATAAAGGAACGCAGAATGTTGCCTTGGAGAGCATTGTGCAACTTGTCCAACAAGAGTTTGCATTTGATAAATCTCAAGACATTACTGAAGCCCTAGCTATAGGTAGGTTTTAATATTTTCATAGCAGATTGCAAATATTAAAAAAAAGAAAGCAGAGCCGAGGTGGCGCAGTGGTTAGGTTGCGGTCTTGCGGGTTCTTTCGGTTGCTTGAGTTCTGCAGTTCGGCTGTTCAAATCTCACCGGCTCAGGGTTGACTCAGCCTTCCATCCTTCCGAGGTGGGTGAAATGAGGACCCGGATTGTTATTGGGGGCGATACGCTGACTCTGTAAACCGCTTAGAGAGGGCTGAAAGCCCTATGAAGCGGTATATAAGTCTAACTGCTATTGCTAACTGCTAAAATAAGACATGTCAATAAAAGTGGTTGTAATTTAGACAAGATTCTTTTTTAAAGTTATTGGATGGATACTTCCAAAAACTTTGCTATGTCTTTTTAGTATGCAAGTCGCATATATAGGATAAAAATGTTGGCCTCTGCAGTTATTCTTTGATTTACTGTTTGTTTGTATTGTCTTCCAAGGAAAATAGAACTTTTTGTATTTTCAACTAACACTGGAAAGAAATGGGAGTGAGGGGGTGGGCTGGGGAAATAAACCCTAATAAGCTAACCATTTTTTTGCATAACCCACTATTTTTTTTTTAAATCAGGTAAATATATTTTCACTTTAAAGGATCTCCAATACAATACATTCTGCAATGCAGTTTCTGAGAAATTTTGTGAACTTTACTGGGAAGAAAAATTGCTAGCAAATCTTTACGGTGCAGCGAACGGTAGAATTCCTGTCCCTGAAAGGCAAGTGATGTTTGCATTTTATCTTTTAACACCAATTTTGCTTTCGCTTACCTTACTGTTTCGTTTGTCATTTTAACTCCTCCACCATTCCCACCACCCATCTAACCAAATGAACTTTTGAATATAAATCATGTTTTCCCGGAAATAAGACAGGGTCTTATTTTCTTTTGACCCCCAAAATAAGGACTTGGCCTTATTTTCTTAGAGGTCTTATTATTTTTGAGGTGCAGGAGGTGGCGAGTATGTTGCAATATTTTGGGGGAGGGCTTATTTTCGGGAGAGGGCTTATTTTAGCGCATGCGCTCAAAAGCCCGATTGGGCTTATTATCTGGAGAGGTCTTATTTTCAGGGAAACAGGGTACTGTTTTCACTGGAAGTTCAGAATGGACATCGGACGAATGTCCAGTTGCAATCTGGCATGTTCCATTCTTCTGAATTCCTACACTTTTCATAACCTTGTCACTACCACAATCCCTGAATACCAGCCCAATGTTTAATCTTTGTTATTAAAAAAAGAGGAACAAATACTTGAGAAAGTCATTGAGAAGGCATGTACTGTGGCATTTAAGAATTGTGTAGGAGCCTAAATTGATAGGCACATCTGTATAGGCATTGTTAGGGATGTAATCTTAATCTTGGGTTGGATATATATATATGCCATGATTGAAATAATGTATCTGTCACTTTAAATGCTCAAGTGAGATGTGATTGGATGCTGTTGCTTTAATCGGCCATAAGAGGGAGTAGGAACTACTACTGGTTGTTCCTGGTTGTTCCTGTATGTTCTCCGTGCTTGTTATTGGAGTTGAATACTGTATTTTGGATGGTGGCTACTCTGTATGTTAGTTACCTGTCTACATGGTGAATCGTGAGTTGAGCATCTGTAAACCAATGTGTTGAATCATAGACTGTGTATATAATTCAAGACTACTTATCACTTGTTTTGGAGAAGGTTTATCCTACTTTATTTTTGTTAACGCAAGTAAAGTTATCCTTGTTTTAACTTCGGCAGCTGTGATTGATAGTGTGACTATTCAGCGGCACTTTCCTTGCTACCTTCTGCTACTCAACTCTAGTCTCCAAAAGGAGATATACTTAACAGGCATCAACATGAATACACAGACGTAAACATAAAGAGACTCGGGAGAGACTATAAAACACTCAGTTGTGAGTGAAAACTGCTTTGCAATCAAACTGGAATCTCTTTTGTTCCAGCTATGCAGCATGTTCTCTGGAGACTAGTTAGATACAAATATATTAACTCCAAAACTTCAGTGAGCACATAATAAAGTTGTCTGGCTTTTTAATTTCAGCATTAAGTGCAAGACAGACTCAAACCATATGGTTGGGTTTTTTATAACAGCTTATATCCACAAACGCCTGGGGTTTTTTTTTTGGCAGTGTTTCTCATAACTAATTTGGTAGGTGGTGACAAAGAACATCCTTGCATGTTCTCTGAGTAAGTCCCCAAATGGTTCATCAGCATATACACCAAATATTGTTTACATACAGGGCAACTTTAGAGACAGAAAAGGCGGGAAGAGTTAAATTGTTCGTGTCTATATATTAAAAAATGGCTGTGTGTGTGTGTGTGTGTATGTGTGTATGTTTCAGCATAACTCTGGAATGCCTCAAGCAATTTCAACCAAACTTGATACGCAGATGATCTACTCTCTGGAAAAAAATGTTGTGGGTGTAGGACATCCCTAAAACTCCTCTGGGTGTGTGTTCTGTTAAGATACAGCGTGTTCTGCCTTAAAATGGCTTCTACTGTACTGCTTTAAAATGGCTTCTACTGTACTGCTTTAAAATGGCTTCTACTGTGCAGCGCAGTGGAGTTGTCATGATAATGGTTTCACAGTATTCCATAAGGGGGCTCCCTCCGTTACATGGCACTAGGGATTCGAACCGCCAAACTGCTGACCCTTCTGATCGACAAGCTCAGCATCTTAGCCACTGAGCCCCCGCGTCCCTGATGCGCACACATTACAAAGCTTATATACTTCCTCAGACCTCTTTCCACCAATGTGTTATTAATGTCCAAAACGACTTTCTGAATGCTGCTGACTTCTTTTTTCATTTAGAACATTTTTGTTGCAATTGTGCTCCTAGAAGAAAGTAAGGGGAGACTTCAAAAAAATACGAACGCTGGATGACTGGGAATTTCTTTGGCACAATCATGTTGGGAGTAGCAAGTGTAGCGCAAAAGACCAACTCATTTTTCTTTGGATGACTCCTACCTCCCCAAATACAAAGAAGAAAGTAGCTAGATCAGGGAGCAGATAAATATTTGAAAGCCTGGATCAACGTAAAGATAGGCTGGGGTATGTTTTTTTTTTCCCCTTTAGTAGCCTTGTAGTAAAGGTGCCTGGAGAGAACAGGTGGCAAAATTGGCCACGTGCATTTAAAGTTTTATCCTTCACAGCTTGATGAGATTCTACCTGTTAAATGTTTTATCTGAGCCTTGGCTAGCCACCATGTGAGAGTTGCTCCACTGGAGAAAGTATTTTGAATATCTAAAGGCTTTGAAGCTTTTCCATTTTTGACATACAGTACACCTGGTGGAAGATGCAAATACTTTAGCTCATCTTTGAAGCCTTCCGTCTCCCAAAGTACTTCATTTATGAGTATGTATTCAGATGTTCATCTCTTGCACTCTCCCTCATTTTCAGAATTAACGAACCACAACATTTGAGCAAGACTTTCCAAAGCGAACCAAATACCTTTCTGAGTGGCAGTGAGGAAGCAGAAGGTATGGAACAGTTAGTGGGCATGCCTTACATTCGATCATACCAATATCTAAAAACCTTCAGTGGTTAAGCCGTGAAGTAATAAGCTTTATGTCCTACTAGATACAAGGAGAAGCAGCAGCAAATGGGGATTTTTCAAATAAAGATTTAAATCCTTGGAAAGCTGGCGCGGAAGTGAGCCTGCTGGAGAGGGGCTGTGCTAATGTTATTACTGCAACCAGCAACCAGATTTAAGATTTAGCTTTCCTTTAGTTGAAAGGCCGTTTATCTCAGGTCATTTAAATTCACAATGCTTCTAATGCTTCTCCTCGTGAGATGAAAGAGTCTAATATATAGTAATCCTGACATCGGTATGGTTTGACCTAAAACAGTAAAATATTAGATATATTGGTCAGAATAACGTTCAATTATTAATGTTGTTGTTATTATTAATAATAATAATAACTAATAATAATTATTAATTAATGTTATTATTATTAATTAATGTTCAATTAATGTTCAATTAATGTTCAATTAATGTTCAATTAATGTTCAATTAATGTTCAATTAATGTTCAATTAATGTTCAATTAATGTTCAATAAAGA